AAAAAAAAAGACGTAAAGCATGTATACATTTTGTGAAACATTCATCATGACGAACTTAGTAGGAATAGGGCAAATCTGCAAATACTACGCAACTGCAGGGATCCGCTGACCGATGTCAAGCGACTGAGATAAAGCACTCTTAAGGTTGTAGCACCAACCATATTTTGCCTCTTCACTGTGTCAAATGAACATATTGCGCGGAGACAGACGCGACAAAAAGGCTACGATCGATGTTGCCAAAGCAAATACTGACTCCCTTGACTCAAAAGAGAAAAATCAAGTTCTTTTATTGTCACCGGAATTGATAGATTCCTCGAATGATCATTCGATACATCTCCGTCTATGCCAAAAAGAACTGGCCCTCTAGATTTTTTTTTCAAAACTTGTTGAATTTGCTCAGCGTTTCGTGAAAGCTGCGAGGCTCCGCATTGTACATTGAAGCTCATCTCATCGGTGACACACTCTGTGAACACCTTTCTTGAAACCTGCATTTGCTTTTACAACCTAAAAATTTTGCCAGGAGCAAACATTCTGGAGGAAGCAGTATAAATACTAAATCTACGATTCATAAATGCTGCGGTTACCAGTGCACTTTACTCTTATCTTAGCTTCAATTACATAAAAGAGAAAACGGAAAAGGTTCGCTGAAAAGTTCAAATCGTCATGATAGAGAGTTACATCAAGAAACTTAATAATATATAGTTTTCTTGCTAGTGTTCAAGAATTGAACGTTTCTAGAGATTCGTATCCTTCGTGTATCAACTGAAATAAGTCTTTTCAAAGTTTTTGGTGCTATCGACGATTCGAACATATTTTAGCATAGCATTCTAAAAGATTCTCTAATTATTCTTGTTTTCAATTTTTAAAAAATATGATTAAAGATACAATTTCTAAAAGCGATACAGTAGCAAGCTTGCGGAGGTGAATGACCCTAGAACAATGATTTGATTAAGTTTATAAAAATACAATGACCAAATCGCCTCAACTTTAAAAACATTTCAAATATGCCGTATATGTTAATCTTCTGTGCCTGTGGAGGAAATTTGCAGCCATTCTTTAAGTTTTCTGCAAAATACACCACAGCCAAAGCGCCGCGTAGCGCGTTTTGGCTGTGGTGTATTTTGCAGAAAACTTACATTCTTCTTGGCCAAGTCGCTTCCCGGCGGCTTCGGATAGGTATAAGCATAAAAAGCAAAGTACACCGGATACACCCAAGTAGCAACAAAAAGGTCACTACACAACATTTCGGAAGTGCCCGAAGCTTTCTTACATATATGACAAAAGTTCCTTACTACCTTGGTCTCTTGCTGAACTTTTATAAAGCAATTTTATATCTATTCTTTGAAAACACAAAAAAAAATGTGGAATGACAATGTAACTCACTCAGAAAAGCTGTATATTTCGCGCAAGCCAGTCCCTTTTCGATGGTTGCTTCGTTTAACGGTTTGTCGAAAAATCGCGGACCATAGTGATACCATGAATTCGGCACAAAGGCGTTGCGACCAAGATGCCATTTTGGGACTTGAATAAAATGTTAAGCAGAATGTACATATAAAAATTCACACCAACTATTCAACAAATCGTTGAGAGTAGGGTTCACATCAAAACCGGGATGTTCTTTACTAATGTCGAACTTTTCAGCTATAGCCTTATATTGATGAGAGCCTTTCCAGATCTGAAAAAACACTTTGAAAATTACAAAGAAAAACGAGTAAATCAGATCAGCATGCCTTGTCCTGGAACTCCTTTAGCGGTCCAGGTTGATCTGCCTTTATAGTGATATCGTGGTGGTACTTCGAATCTAAACCTAGCGGTCCAGTAAGCGAAGTCCCGTCAGGAACCTGGAAACAAAAGCGTTTCGTGAGAGATCACACAAGTCTGGTCTGGGAAAAGACAAAACAAGTTTCTAGAAAAGTGATCACCTTTGGATCAAAAAAATCCGGATCTTCTTCCTTGTACCTGTGACGTATCATACGCAGTCGTCCACTGCGGACAATCTCGTCTTCAACACCAGCTTCCTTCCACCAATCTGGACGCCCCTTACTGAAACATTCAATAATAGAAGTTAACAACAGGAACGTAGATCACTTACTACTCCCGAGTACTCCATAGACCAATCCATGGTGGCCGCTGAGTTCTATAAGTAGCTACGAGCGGAGGTTCGTCATCATGGCTCATGGCTTCCCTTAAAAAACTCGACTTAGTCGGTCATTCAACCGAAATAAAGGAGGAAGTGAAATACACCGAAAATGACAGGCGAAGAAGACAGAAATTATGACGTGCTCGTGAATAGCTATGTCAATGTCGTGATGACGTACACAAAGCTAAGAGCACAGTATGAAATAGCCAAGTTTTTAGTGTCCGAATACACTATTTTTCGTAATTTTTGATAAATGCAGCCTATTCCTAGCTATATATGTGTTCAAGGATTAGAACATTAGCATCAAAATTTTAGCATGAGTTATTTTTGAGCTGTTGAAAACATACTCTTTGTATCACGGCTTTCTGCAATAGTGCGTCCCAGCTTTCCACGGAAGGATGACATTCGAGTTCAACCTTGAGGTTTTTCTCCCTCTTACATTCATTGATTCATGTGTCTTTTTTTTAACTGATTGACTTTCGGATACATTACTTTTGATATTGCCTGACTTAAACCGTTCTATGTTAATTTTTCTTGTGTTTCTCAGCTGTTCTAGGATAGGTCGATGCCCGATAATGAAAATGCAGAAGAAATGGAGATTAATGAACTCCGGCTAAAGAACAACAGCTTTGGAATTATTGACGCACAAGATTCGGTACGTTGTTAGAGTTAGTTTTGTAAATATTTAAAATCGATTAGCGGTCTATGTAAGAGATTCTGCAAAAAATCACTTTATTTCTAGAGGTCCGGTAAACGGCA